TCTTGGTTCACATTTTCAAAGCTATCTTTGCATCCATGAGAGCTAGAAAAATGAGTTTGTCACTACCTCCTTGAAGCTAACTTACATACTTCTGAGGGCTTATGATCAATAGTTGAAAACTCTCTAATTCTGTCATTTTATTATTCTCCTAGGAATCCACCCTAAAAAGCATTTTGAGTGCCTTATGGAATTTGTCAGCACACTGTACTGAGAACAAAGGTGATATATGTGCTGTTGATGGTGCTCTTGCATTTCTAGTTGGTACACTGACATACCGGAGCCAAACAAACACTTTAGCCATCATAGAAAGTGGAGGAGGAATATTAAGAAATGTTTCTAGCTTAATTGCTACTAATGAGGACCACAGGTGAATATACTTTCTATTTTTCTGAGAATCAGTAGTGGTACCAAAAGTATATTTAATAGTTTGTATGACCAAGTCTTAATATGAATGCATGTTTTAAGCATAGTAATTAAGCATTCATTTTTTAATGGATTTGATAAGGCAAGTATTTAATTTAGATAACAGGAATATGCAAAAGGATTAATATATCTGCTGCTTGTTAAATGATTAATTGTACTAAAAGCTTTTCCTGGAAAGAGAGAGGAAATTCATAAGTTCTTATCAGCCATAGGAAACCACCTGGAATGGTTTATACAGAGAGGATAGTGTGGGAGCAAACTGTTCGTATTTGTATAGGATTTGTTTAACATTCAGATGAAAACTTGAGGAAAAAATAAGATAAATTTGCACTGAAGAATTCATAATTATCCTTACTATGGATTAAACTTGCCTATAGCATAATAGGTTTTTGGTTTGCTTTGTCTGTTATCCTTTTGAAATGCCACTTACTGATTTTTGTTCTCAATCACTCAACACCAGGCAAATCTTGCGAGAGAACAGCTGCTTACAAACCTTGTTACAGCATTTGAAGTCACACAGTTTGACAATAGTCAGTAATGCATGTGGGACCCTGTGGAATCTTTCTGCACGAAATGCAAAAGATCAGGAGGCGCTGTGGGACATGGGAGCAGTGAGCATGCTCAAAAATCTCATTCACTCAAAACACAAAATGATAGCAATGGGCAGTGCTGCAGCTCTAAGAAACCTGATGGCAAATAGGCCAGCAAAATATAAGGATGCCAACATTATGTCTCCAGGATCAAGCTTACCATCTCTTCATGTTAGAAAACAAAAGGCACTGGAAGCAGAATTAGATGCTCAGCATTTATCAGAGACTTTTGACAACATTGATAATTTAAGCCCGAAAGCATCTCACCATAATAAACAGAGACATAAGCAAAATATTTACAATGAGTACGTTCTGGATTCCAGTCAACATGATGATGGGATTTGCAGATCAGAGAGTTTTAATACTGGTCATATGACTGTACTTTCACCATATTTAAATGCCGCAGTATTGCCTGGCTCCTCTTCCTTTAGTAGAGGAAACATAGAAAACTCTCAGTCTGAGGAAGACAGAAGTCTCGATAGGGATGGAGCAGTAGGTTTAAATAGCTATCATCCAACTACAGAGAATACTGGGAACTCCTCTAAGAGAATAGGAATGCAG